GGGAGCAGAACAGGCAGATTAACGAAATACACTGCTGGGGGAACAGAAGGTGGGTCAGGAGGGGTCTGCTGTGCCATGTGGGTCACCTCCTGGGCCAGGGATCGTCTGTGATAGCTTCATAGAGCTGCACTTTAACCTGTTGTGCCACCAGGGAGGGCCAAGAAGACTGGATTTAGATGGAGTGATCCTTCAAGGGTGGGGGCTTATCAGGACTAGTCTTTGGAGCAAGGTGAGGTGGGCAAGGTTGAGAGGAGGTAATGACACTCAGGTATCCACTCTGGCCTAATGATCTAATGGCGGGGGGCTCAAGGGTTCCCAGCAAGAGGAGAGGCTCTGGTGCTGCTCCTACCACCCCTTGCTGGTACCCAGCCACCTCTCGCAGCTGGGTACTAGCTGGGTTTGTTCCTATTAGGGTGGATACACATAGACACGTCTATAGAGCTGAGTTGACCCAGGGCTTGTTTAATTTGACTTTTTAAGTTTAAGGTCGAGGCTTCATGTTCTTGGCTCTCTTGAATCACCTTTGCCCAACAGCTTCCACTGAGCTGGGGCCTTTTCAGGAGAGGAGACAGGACTGGGCTTGTAGCCACTCTGTGGGGGTGGGGACGTGGTGGTGACTGCGTTCTCTGTTGCAGGACTTGGTTCCCAGGCTGCAGCAGCGGATACAGACCCTCAGAGAGGTGACTGGCCCTGCTCATCACAGCCCTCCACCTTCTGCCCACACCCCAGCCATGCCCAGGGAAGCCTCGGAATAGTGGGACTCCAGCTCGGTAGGACTGGAGTGGGGTGGAGGGGAATTCTGAGGACAATCACTGCAGGGACCTTTCTTGATCCAGGTACAGATAAATAACTCCAGACATGCTTCTCTGCTCTGCGAGCTTCTACCTGTGCCCGTCTAAGGGGGAGGACACACAGCAGCACTAACACAGGATTTACCCTCTCAGGGGTTGGAGATGGAAGGTGCCCCCCCAGTTGAGCTGCAGCTTCTCCATGAATGCAGCCCCAGCCAGGTGAGTCCAGAAATACAGGCTCGGCCTGAGCGTCCATTCCCTTCTCCCAGCCTTTTTCTAGTTGAGTTTGTGTTTCCCTGCCTCAAGTGCAAATTTGGGGAGAGAATCTTGGTCTTAGGTGCTGTGAGTACCCCAAGTGGTGTCCCATAGCCCTGGTTCTTTAGGGCAACTTTCCAGACTCCCTTTTCTGCCCAAGAGCTTGAGGCCGACGACAGCCTAGCAGGGACAGTCTGAGTGTCCCCATGCCTTCCTGCTGCTTGGCAGGTAGAACTGCTGTGTGCCCAGCTGCAGCTCCCGCAGCTCTCAGACACAGGCCTCCTGCAGTTCTGCACCTGGCTGCTGGCCCTCTCACCACATCTCAGCCTCAGCAGTGCCACCGTGCTGGCGAGGAGCCTCTTTCTTGAGCGGGTAAGTGCCAAGGAAATGGAGGGGCTGAACCCTCAGCTGGGTGGTGCCTGGGAGAGGGGGTGCCCAGCATGCTAGTGACTTTCCTATTAGGTCCTCCTGAGGCAAGAGGGTAGCATAGACCACCAGGCTATCTACCCTCGTGCCATCTAACTCCTTCCTCTGGGGTCCCCGGCCCCCTAAAAGCTAACGAAAGGACTTTTGGGTTTGGGAGTTGAGATGAGGTGCTTTGTGTCTGTCCAAAGGCTGGATCCTTGTAGTCCTGAATAAAATACCTTTTTCCTCTGTAATATGTATCTGACAAACATTTATGAAGGGAAGAGTAAATGAATGAATGTTTTCCTCCCCGTGGACTGTAGATTCTTGCCCTGACTTCCTCGGCCTCCCGCCTGCTCATGACAGCCCTGACCTCCTTCTGTGCCAAGTATACCTACCCCTTCTGTAGAGCCCTCCTTGGCCCTGTGCTCCAGGCCCCAGGAATAGGTAATTCTGGAACCAGCCCCAGACCTGTGTTCCCAGCACCCTTGAGCTCAGGGTGGCCCCAGCAGGAGTTGGGTGTCCAATAAATAAAGATACCAGTTGCTGCCCTGTCTGTATCCCCTAGGCCCATCTTCTCCCACCTTCTACTCCCAGCCTGTCCCCTGCTTTCTCCTACCCAGGTCCAGCTCAAACAGAGTTACTGTGTTGCCTGATGAAGGACAGCTCCCTGGAGCCAGACACTCAGCTTCTCATGCTGGGGTGAGTGCACAGGCCTTCCATGCTGCCTACTCCTGCTCCCTTGGCCAAGCCTGCTCCTGGCACTCTGGGGTTGGAGCGGGTGAGACATGGGTGACATCACAGCCAAAGCCCCCCAGCACGGTTACCTGAGCCTGGCTTGTGCCTTCTCAGCTGGCCGTATACAAGTAAGTTGCCATCTCATGCCGGATCACACCCCTGTCTTTCCCACTTCTGCCCCTGCTGCTGTGCCATGCTCTTGAGTAATTCACAGTATAGCTGGAACATGGCGCTGGTGTTAAGCATGTTGGCTCATCTTTTTTTTTTTAAAGATTTATTTATGTATACAGAACTGGGGTAAAGGCCAGACAGAAGTGCAGGGACGGTGAGAGGATTCACCAGAGACAGAGCGCAGAGCAGAACAGGCAGATGGACGAAGTACACTGCTGAGGGGAGCAGAGGGCGGGTCAGGAGAGGTCTGCCACACGATGTGGGTCAGGAATAAAACTGTTGCTGAAGGCACTGTGGCTAGCTTCATAGTGATGTGCTTTGACCCGTTGCACCACCAGGGAGAGTCTTCAGCTCATCTTTTGTTGAACTGAATTCTAAGCCCAGGAGAATATGGAATATGAAAAATGGGAATGACACTAGGATTTTTCTGATATTAAATGTACTAATACAGTGCCTCAGTAGTGGTCTAGGGGGTTAAGTTTCAGCACTCTCACCACTACGGCCTGGTTTGATCCCCAGCCAGGGAGGTGATCCACATGGTGCAGCAGACCTCTCCTGTCTCACCCACTGCTCCTGTCAGCAATTACTTCAGTAGATCCACCTGTTCTACTCCCCAGTCTCTGATGAATCCTCTTACTCTGCACATCTCGCTTACACCCCAGTTTTTCTATGCAGAAAAAAAAAACCATGCTAATACATGAAAACCTGGACACAGTATTTGGTACCTAGTAAGTGCTCAAAATTTATTAAATTGGTGTTAAATTTAGGTATTAAAGTTGGGGAGTCAAAATGCAGATGTGGAGAAACAATAAGTAAGACTAACATGAAATATGAAAATGCTAAGTATGAGAAGGAACAGTCTCAAAAAGAGTAGCAGCCACCACTTCTCAAGTGCTTTAGATTCATGATCTCAGTCTCCATGCAGTGCTGAGGGGTAGGTGGTGCTGCAGCCTGAGAGATGGAAAAACTGAAGCTCAGAGAGCTGGAGCGGCTCTGCCAGAGGTCACATAGCCAGCAAGTGCTATAGCCTAGGAGTAGACCCAAGCCTGGCCACCCAAGAAGCCACAATATCTGCACGACATGCTTTTCCAGAGAACTGAGAACTGTGCAGAGCAGGGCAGTTGGGTGGGTGGAGGCGTTCCCTGAGAAGCCTTGCCACCATGCCGCCATCTCAGTCCCTCCTCATCCTCTGCACCTTTGTACTCAGGCTTCACTCTCAACACCTGATCTTTTTTTGTTTTTTAATGAGTAATGTAATAGTTTATTTTTACATCATTTTGTGCATTTTCCCATCTCAGTTGTAATCCCCTTGGACTTCCGATCACCAAATCACCCCTGTGCCATCACCATAGTCCAGTGCATTTCCCTCCCCCTGCTGTTTTTGATCCCACTCCCCATTCCACCCCAAAATGTCTCTGGTATATAGCTATTCATCATTATCATTATTTTCCCTCCTGTTCCGTTATATTCCTGCTATGAGAGAAACCATCTGTTATTTTTCCTTTTCTTTCTGGCTTATTTCGCTAAGCATGATCTTTTCCAGCTCCATTCATGCTACTGCAAAAGACATGTGTTTCTTTTTTTTGGTTGCTGAGTAATATTCCATTGTGTATATATATGTACCACATCTTTTTAATCTAGTCATCCATTTTTGGGCATTTGGGCTGCTTCCATGTCTGTCTAATTGTGAATAAACATGGGGGTGCAGGTAACTTTTGAATCAGTGTTTTTGTGTCTTTTGGGTAGAAACCTAGGCGTGGGATTGCTCGGTCACATGGAAGCTCCATGTTTAGCAGTTTGAGGAACCTCCGAATAGTTTTCCATAGTGGTTGTACTAGTTTGCATTCCCACCAGCAGTGCAGGAGAGTTCCTTTTTCTCCACATCCCCACCAACATTTCTTGTTGCTTGTTGTTTGAAGATGTGCCATTCTCACTGGGGTGAGGTGGTATCTCATTGTGGTTTTAATTTGCATCTCCCTTATTACAAGTGATGTTGAACATTTTTTCATATGCTTGTTGGCCATCTGCATTTCCTCTTTGGAGAAGTGTCTGTTCAGCTCTTCTGCTCTTTTTTTGATGGAGTTGTTTATTTTTGTTGAGTTTTATCAGTTCTTTGTGTATCTTTGTGATCAATCCCTTATCGCTAGTTTGGTGTGAGCAAATTTTTTCCCAATCAGTGGTATGTCTGTTTGTTTTTTTTAATGTCTCTTTTGCTGTACAGAAGCTCTTAAACTTAAATAATGTAGTCCCATCCATTTATCCTTGTCTTCACTATCGTTGCATTGGGTGCAGTATCTTTAAAGATGTATGTATGTGTGGTAACACTTGATTGTTGTTTTTTTTTTTTAAGATTTATTTATTCGTACAGAACTGGGGTACAGGCCAGAGATGTGGAGGGTGAGAGGATTCACCAGAGGCAGAACGGGGAGCAGAACAGACAGATCAACGAAGTACACTGCTGAGGGGAGCAGCGGGCGGGTCAGGAGAGGTCTGCCGCGCCATGTGGTCACCTCCCAGGCAGGCGGGAATCGAGCTCATGTGGTAGCGGCTTTAGATTCTCAGTGCTGTGCTTTAACCCGCTGCGTCACCAGGGAGGGCCCAACACTTGATTGTTTTTAAGGGGACCTTTGCACAGCTCACTGCCAAGTCTTCCTTGTCAGCTCCTGGGGGCTTCCCAGCACTGAAAACGGGCCCCTCTGCAGTGGCTGCAGGGTGGCTGACTGCAGCAGGGTGCTCAGAATGCTTCCTTGGTTGCCTGGGAATCATGGCTGTCCCCGGGTTCTTGCACTGTGGCAGGAATAGGAGCAGGAGATAGCTTGGCTTGGGTGAGAGGCTGGGCTTCTCTCACTGGGCCTGTGCTTTGCAGACAGATCTTGGAGCTACCGTGGAAGGAGGAGGTTTTCTCGGTGTTACAATCACTCTTGGAGCAACAGGTGAGGAGCTACCCTGGCAGATGTGGTGTGCTGTGGGGGATGGTAAGAGGCTTCATCAGAGACTGCATGGGGATCAGAACAGACACATCTACTGAAATACACTGCTCAGAGGAGCAGTAGGTGAGACAGGGGAGGTCTACCTTGCCATGTGGGTCAATCCACTGGCCAGGGATGGAACTCATGCTGCAGTGGCTACGGATAACATCGTAGTGCTGAGACTTACCCTCTTGTACCACCAGCAAACTAGGGAATACCATATGTTCACAGTTTGTTTGGTTTGTTTGTTTTAAAAGATTTATTTAGTTATGCATACAGAGCTGGAGTACAGGCCAGAGGTGCAGGGGTGATGAGAAAACTCCCCAGAGACAGAGTGGGCAGCAGAACAGGCCAACTGATGAAGTACACTGCTGAGGGGAGCAGCGGACGGGTCAGGAGAGGTCTGCTGTGCCATGTGGTCACCTCCCGAGTCATCGCACTCATGCTGAAATGACTTAGATTCTCAGTGCTGTGCTTTAACACGCTGTGCCACCAGGGAGGGCCCCATGTTCACAGCTTTAAAAGTTGAAAAGGATGCAGTGTAAAATATTCCCCTCTCCTCTCAGTGAGTTACCCAGATTATCCTTCCTAAAGCTAACCAGTTTTACTAGTTCCAGGGGGATTTCCCAGAGATGTTTCACAGATAAAAAGAAACTTGTTTAAATGTACCTTTACCATAGAGAGTAATACGCCCTACTCAGTTCTACGTACTTTGCTTTTTCACTTAACTGTATATTTTGGCAATTTTTCCCATACCTCATCATCTGTTTATGACTTGGATAGTTGACCTGATTTCTTTATGCTTCAGTTTCCTCATCTACCAAAGGACTGTACTTCTTACATTAGACTAGGTTAAGGTTGAAATGACATAGTCGGTATCAAGTGTATAGAACAGTGCCTGATCCATAGAAAGTGCTTTATTAAAATCTTATAAAGATGGGCTTTCAGGTGGTGCAAGGGATTAAAGCACAGCACTATGAAGCGCTCCACAGCCACTGCAGCACAAGTTTGATCCTGGCCAGGGAGGTGACCCACATGGCACAGCCCTCTCCTATCTCACCCACTGCTCCCCTCAGCAGTGTATTTCAGTAGATCTACTTGTTCTGCTCCCCACCATGTCTCTGGTGAATCCTCTCACCTCTGGCCTGCACTCCAGCCCTTATGCATAAATAAATAAATCTTTTTAAAAATAACAAAAAGTCTTAATGAAGAGCTGTTGTTTTTATGCTGACAGTATCCCTTGGGACTTCTCTTATACCTTCAACCAGTAAGCCAGATTAGGAATCCTTTGCTTCCCACTGGTTCTACTTTCAGTCTTTGCAACACTAGCCACCATTTTCTGAGCTTTCTGTGCCAGGTTTTTGGTGCATTATCCACACAATCCTTTCCACAGCCTTCATAGATATGTAATAAGTCCCCTCTTACAGATGTGTAAACTGAAGCTTTGATTGAATGCCCTGCCCTATTATAAAATGGTGGGGATGGGAACTGAATGCAGGACTAATTGAATGAAGAGCCCAGGCCTTGTGCTACTGCTCCATCTCCCAATGTGCAGGTGGAGATGACCCCTGAGAAGTTCGACATCTTGATGGAGAAGCTCTGTAAAGAGGGGCCAGCAGCTACTACATCCGTGACCTACGCCAAGCTCATGCTGACAGTGATGAACAAGTATCAGGCCAGTGTGAGTGTGTGATAAGAGTCCTGAGGCTCGTCCTACTACCACAGGCTGTCCAGATGTTTGCAGGGAGAAAACATTGAGCATTAGCTAGGAAAATTACAGATTTAAGCCCTGAACTGGGGAATGGACTCCTTCAGCGTTCATTCATCTGGTCATTGCTACAGTGGGCCAGCTGCTGTGTGGGGCATTGGGGACTCGACCGTGGCACCGTTCCTGTCCTTGAGTTGACCCTCTTCCCTAGAGAGCTAGTGAGAGGATGACATGATAAACAGAAAATATCTGGGAGGAGCTAGGTGAGAGGTGTGCCCTGAAGTGTCTCTGAACTTCAGTTCACTCATCTGTAAAATGGGAGGGTTGTGAGGATTATATGAAGTAATGCATATAAAGTGCTCCCACACAGGAAGCACCCAGTAATTGCCAACTGTTCCTAATGTGGCTGACTTAATAAGTTGTACAGCTAGTATTTGACCGCAGCTCCACCTGAATCCAAGGACCTTGCTTAATCATAGTGAAATAATAAGGTTAGATTGCTCAGGTAGTCATCTGCTTCCATTGTCCCTGTGGCCTGGTTTCCTTTCTGCTTCCTAAACAGCATGTGGGGCAGAGGGAAATGAGAGATAAGCTGCTAGACTCCTGATGTGACTTCCTTCTCCCTAGATCACTGAGACCCATAGACTGGGCCTCACCACAGCTCTGGAGACCAACACCACTTTCCTGAGGAAGTCCCTGTGTGCTGCCCTGAGACAGCTGGCCCCCTGACTGTCCACCAGGAACCACACTCCTAGAGCTACCTCGCTGGTGTCCCGAAGGACACTTCTGCTCTCACTCTGACCCCATACCTGGAACGAGCCTCACTATTCCAGGAACCAGCTGCCTCTCTGTTCTAGGCTGCAAAGATGTCTTCTTGGCCTCCCAGCCAGCAGGGATGGTCCTGAGCTAAAGGAGCCAAAGAGCTGTATTTGCAAAGGCTGCTGACCCTGCGCTGACTCCTTGACATTGCTACCCCAGGCTCAAGGGACAGAAAATGATAGGCACAACTGACAGAGCAGACTCAGAGGAGATGAATGATGATGCTCCAGGAGACCTGTGATCTCAAGTGTGTATGAGGACCTTCTGTGTTATTTCTGGCTTGAATAATTTATCATTTATATTTAATAAAAAGCAGAGATATTTAATTAAAAATATGTAATATTGTTATTTAATAAAATATACTCGGTGTATGATGAAAGTGAACACTCACACACATCTAACAACCTTCACCTCCATTCTGCTCAGTGACAGATCATCTTTTTTTCTGATGGTTGTGAAGTTCATTCATTCATGTTCTGTTGGCCAGGTAATGTGAGATTCCACCTGCCCCAGTCCCACCACAAAGGGGGGCTGAAAGGTGGGAGTGATTCAGTCTGAGGAAAGTTAGGGAAGATGATATTTGAGGAGAGATCTGAAGGGCTTCTGAGTTTGAGTGCTGTGTGCTAAGAAGAGTGTGGGTGGAGGCCTACTGGATCCAAGAAAGCAGAAGACCTGAAAGACTACAGTACTGTGGGTATGTTTGTCCTTATATTCCCAGATGTCTAGCCAGGGCCCTTTTAGTAAACACTTAAGGGATAGGTGCAATGAATCAACTGTCAGGTGAAAGTTCATTCCAATACCTTGCCATCTCTGTCCACTTTTTTTTTTTTTTTTTTGGTTAAAGATTTTTTTTAATGCATACAAAGCTGGGGTGTAGAACAGAGGTATGGGGTGAGGTGGGGTAGGGCTTGTGGGGATGAGAGGATTCAACAGGGACAGAGTGGGGAACAGAACAGGCGGATGTGCTGAAATACACAGCTGAGGGGAGCAGTGGGTGAGACAGGAGAGGGCAGCTGAGCTATGTGGGTCAGCTCCCTGGCCCGGGGTCGAACTCAGGCTACAGTGGGATAGCCTCATAGGCTGAGACTTAAACTTTGTGCAACCAGAGACGCTCTTTTCTTGCTCACGTTAAAGCTTGATGGGCTAGGAGCAGAACTGTCTTGATCTTTTCCTACTCAACCGTCTCGGAAGCTGTGAGTCTCCAGTTAGAACAGGATGCCGAGGGAGAAGTCAGTAAAGCCTGCCTTTGCGAACTGAAGCTACTGAAGCTGTGCCGAGGGCAGCAGCAAGTGCACATAGGCGACTTGAGAGACAACATGCTCTCAGCGGCCATCACGGTGTGGTGCCCAGGACGTGCGACTATTGACGCTTTCACCCTGGACCCAGACGATTCCTTAAGGGCCTGAAAGTCGATGGCGCGAATAAGCTGTCTCAGTGCCACCTTGCGCGCTGGACTGCGACGTCTCAGTTCCTCGCCGAGCTAGAGGTGCTGCGCTCCGCAGCGCCCCGCAGCGGCCACAGACCGCGGCGCTCAGGAGGAAAACCACAGGAAAAGACATCTCGCGAGAACAAGGCCCATATTTGAGCGCATGCGCGGTGGCAGAGAGCCTCTTTTCCGGTTACTGCTGCGGGAAGCACCATGAGGTAAGTCCCGTTTAGAGTGTCATCCGCATTCATCCTCTCTTCAACGCATCCTGGTGGGGTTGGAGACCCTACAGACGGAATGGCGGGGTTCTTCGCCACTGTTTCGCCGCGGGGCATTTCTTGCCTGGATGGTCGGCTTGCGTATCCCGCGTTGGATGTCGGGCGTGAGACCTGGCCGACAGCAGAGGCGCTCTCTCCGGGGCTCGGATCCGGCTGGGTGCCCTCAGTCGTGGCGTGTGGGACCTCCCGCCGCGCGCCGTCTGGAAGCCTGAGCCCTTGAGCGTTCGTCTTGCTTCTTTCTCGCAGCAGCAAAGTCTCCCGCGACACGCTGTACGAGGCGGTGCGGGAAGTCCTGCACGGGAACCAGCGCAAGCGCCGCAAGTAAGCGCGGGCCGGCGGGGGCGGCGGGGCGGGCGCGGGCCTTGCTGAACGTCCCCTCTCTCTCAGGTTTTTGGAGACGGTGGAGCTGCAGATCAGCTTGAAGAACTATGACCCGCAAAAGGACAAACGTTTCTCGGGCACCGTCAGGTTGGCACCGTTCTGACCCCACCCGGCCCTCAGTGCCCCCCGTGTCGGTCTCTCCCTCGGGGCCCCCGTCGAGCCCGAGGCTGGCAGGCACGGGCGCCACTGACGCGCATGGGTAGTTCGGACCCGCCGCTGAGGCAGGCCGGACGGACCCCCACCCTGGGTCTTAAAACAAGAGGGGAGGCGTGGGGAGGCCTCGGCCGAGCCCGCCGGCCAGTCTGAGAAGCCAGACTGGCTGCAGGTGACTGGACACTGGGTAAGGCTCAGGAGCGGCCGCGGCCCCGGGCCCTCACCGGTCCCCGCGCCCCGGGCTGGGCCTGAATGGTTCTGTTCCCCAAATCGCAGGCTCAAGTCTGCCCCACGCCCCAAGTTCTCGGTGTGTGTGCTGGGAGACCAGCAGCACTGTGATGAGGCCAACGCTGTGGACATCCCCCACATGGACATCGAGGCGCTCAAGAAGCTGAACAAGAATAAGAAGCTGGTCAAGAAGCTGGGTGAGCAGGGCCGCTATGGTGGTGGGTGGGTGGGCAGAGGGCATCTGGCGTTTAGTCGTTTGGGTGTGGTTTTTTTTTGGTTAAGATTTATTTATGCACACAATAACTGGGGTATAGGCCAGAGATGGGGGGGTGAGAAGATTCACCAGAGACACAGTGGGGAGCAGAACAGGCAGATTGAAACAACACTGCTGAGAGGAGCAGGGGGAGAGACAAGAGGTCTGCTGTGCAGTGTGGGTCAGCTCCCTGGCTAGAGATGGAACTCATGCTGCAACAGCTGAAGAAAGCTTCATGGTGCTGCGTTGTGCTCCCTTGCCTCACCATTTGGGTTTTTGATGAAGGAGCTAGAATCATGAGCAGGATCTGTGGTTGGTAAACTTCAATGGCTTTTTATTTTCTAGGGTTCCTTGAAGGTTGAATTTTGGTAAAGGGAAGAGGGCAGGTAGTGGTTCTCCAAAGAGAAGTGAGGTTTATTGGCTTGTGAGGTGCTGGTGTGTTCTGAATAGAACGTTTTAGTCCCTGTCTATGTGGCCTAATGCCCCAGTTGTCTTTGAGGTAGACTGAATTTTTGGCTTTGATTTGATTGTAATTTTCCTTACAACTTGGGTCGTGGGTCAGCCTGAGCTTCTGGTAGTGTCACCTGACTGTTGGCTAGTAAAATGTCCAGAGGATGAAGACGAGCTAGAATGAGCGGATTATTAGAAAAGACTGTCCCCGCATTGTGGTAGTGTCCTGGTGGAGGCCTGTTTTGTACTAGGTAGAGATTTCTGTTTGAGGGTCTACCTTCAAGGACCAGTTTCTAAAGCATCTTCTTTTTACCAGCTAAGAAGTATGATGCCTTTTTGGCTTCTGAGTCTCTAATCAAGCAGATCCCACGAATCCTGGGTCCAGGCCTGAATAAGGCTGGCAAGTTCCCTTCTTTGCTCACCCACAATGAGAACATGGTGGCTAAAGTTGATGAAGTAAAGTCCACTATCAAGTTCCAAATGAAGAAGGTAAGTGTTAGGGACACATGGCTCCTCAGCGGGTTGGATCGTAGCTTTGCAGGTAGCCCTGAGGAGCCTTGCTGGGTCAGCCACTGGGCTCCAGGTGACTGGAGGCGAGGTGGTGCATTTGCCCTGGACACAGAGTCCGCTCTAATCTTTTTCTGTTCCATTTCTTTACCAACCCGATTACCTCCTTCACACAGGTGCTATGCTTGGCTGTGGCTGTTGGGCACGTGAAGATGACAGATGATGAGCTTGTGTACAACATCCACTTAGCTGTCAATTTCCTGGTGTCGTTGCTCAAGAAGAACTGGCAAAACGTCCGGGCTTTATACATCAAGAGCACCATGGGCAAACCCCAGCGCCTGTACTAAGGCACAGTTTAATAAATTTTACTGCTTCCGTCATCTGTTCCTCTTTAGGGGAGTGGGTACTTTGTGGCTCTGTCTGGCTCCCTAGTGGTAGGTGGTGATTATGCTCACCCTGCACACCAGAATTTTTTCCCTTCAAAATCTGTATGTCGGGATTTAGGATATTTTTTATTATAGCTATTTTGGGGTCGTGGTCTGCAGGGCTTACAAGGGGATTTAAACATGGGTTAGTATCGAGGCTAGAGTCACGCTTGGGTATCACCTATTGCCTCAGTGTGCTAGAGTCCTCGAAGAACAACTACTGACCTTATTCACTGACTGTGACCTTTGTGGTATAGTCAGTCACCAGGTTGGTGACAAATGATTGGGGCCCTAGATGCATCTGGTGGGAGTGCTCAACAGGTCCTGAGGGGTCTGCCTGTGCAGTGGGGGGATGGGCTCAGATATGAAGGGAAAATGGACCTTTGTTTTTCTAGGGGAGCTTAGTTGGGTAGAGTCAAATGGGTGTAATCTGGAGGTGCAGGGAGCTATAGGGTTTTAAGACAAATGGATTGGCTGAAATATGCTGCTGAGGGGAAGCAGATATAGAAGAATAAAGTGAATATACCTTTCTCTACCTCTGCCAAAGGTTGCTTACAAGACAGTACAGCAAGAAGAGAAAAGGTTGAGGGCTGTGAAGCAAAGGCATGAGAGTCTCAGTACTGCTAAGGTGGGTGGGCCTGGTTGCACCTCCGGTCACCAATCCAGAGGACCTCGAACACGACTGGTTTATGACAAAAAACAAACACCTCTGAGCTGAAAAACAAATAGTCACTTTGCCAGTAGTAGTCAGAGATGAAGTTGGTCACAGTGGAGCCAAGGATTTGAATAGTTTCCTAAGACCTCAAGTGGGTTACTGCGATTGTTTTGTGCTTTGTGCTTGCCCATCCAACGGATTACCTGAGAGAAGTCCCAGCACCCCTCCCCACTGCACCCCTGCCCTGCCTTAGTGGGAATGCCCAGCCCTGCACTAGAGCCCTGGGAGCCCATTGAATGGTCTTAACCTCACTAAACATTTCCTCATCTGAAAGCACCATCTGTGCTAGTACCGACAGCAGATGGTAGTGCCAACTTAAAAGTTGTTTCTGCACAGTGCCAGGCACACAGTACTTTTGTAAGCAGCAGCTGTAAAGTTTGCACACCTCAGGACTTGCAGGCCCAGTGCCAGATGCTGCAGTGGAGAATCAGTCAAATGAAGGATTACGTGAAATAAGACAAGGAAAAAATGGGTGGCTTCATTTATAAGAGGAATAAAATGGGACCAAATA